AACATCCCTATCGGTATAACCACATCCCTATTATCGACACATAGGGATGTTAAAAATCCAGCCCGATCCGACTTGACTCCAAAAGTCAAGCCTTTATTAAAATTCAGTCCAAATTCAGATTTGAACTTGACATTTTACATGCATTTTTTAAACATTTAATAGCCAAAAAAAGTGTATTTCGCATGCGCATGCATGAAATGCGATTCGAGTCCCAAGTCAGACTTGGGACTGGACTTTTAACAGCACCCACATCACGTGACTTATCGGCACAGCAATGATCAACGACTTTTAACAGCACCCACATCACGTGACTTATCGGCACAGCAATGATCAACATAGCGAAATAATTATACGGAGGTCGGAGTGGATTCAATATATGACCCTACAAACTGCATAAATTGCATTCTTGATATTTGTATATAAAAACTTGTCTAACTTCATTAAAAAGTTAACCCTAACCCTAACTCCGTTTTGGCCGACAAACTTTTATTGCTCGGAGCGTAGTGAAGGACATTTAATGATTAGTCAAGGTGACTAATATTACGTTTTTAGTTACCTAATCAATAATTTAATTTTATAACTTTGTGTCTGTCCATTTTTCAATTTGCATTTTAGTGTAATATAAACATTAAGCTCCAATAAGCATCGTATGATAATTATATCGTGATTATTAAATCGTATGATCTAAAATTTTTTGGGTGGCGATTTAAACCCGGTTGAAGATATTAAATAATTATGATAATCAAATTTACTCTTAATCTCAGTTTTGATCGTTCACTTCCGACCATTATCATATGATTAAATTTATGCGTAATATATAAGTAATAGATAATAAATACCTAATACTACTTAAGGGATAAGTAATAAATCATTATTATTTACAAAATTACTTTGCCTATCCATAATAACGACAGACACTAAGCCAACTTCAATGAACTTTTTTTTATTTGAATTTTAATGATCTGTAGGATTCAAATAAAAAAAGATTCATTGAAGTTGGCCTGGTAGTTGTCAAGATATCCTTGACCAAAGTTTGAAAAAAAAATTTCAAAATACGTTTCTATCAAAATAGAAGTTGTGCTAAATTTTAAGCAAAGATATCTCAACAACCATCGAGATAAATTCAATGAATTTTTTTATTTAAATTTGTAGAATTCAAGGGTCATCGAAGTTGGCTTAGTGGTTGTCATGAGTTATTATGTCGATCATTGCTGTGCCAATAAAGAAGATAGGTCATATCGATATAGTTGCCATGTTGGGTACCCAATTGAAAAATGACGTACGTACGTCAATTAATAATTGACAGAATTGACATTAGTTTTGAAATATTATAAATTTATAATAATATTGTAACTTATAAAAATAACAATTGCATTTTTGATAATTTATTTATAAAAATTAAGACTTGTATTAAAATTAAAGAATTAAAGAATTTATTAGATTTGGAATTATATAATTTTTATATATATGTGGTATATGTTGATTATCGTTATTGCAATTATAATATCGATATTAACAGTTTGATGTAAATACTGTGATTTAATCGATTAGCTATCTAGGGTATTTCGAAAATTTTTACGGCAAATGATAATGTTGTAAAAAAAGTTACAGTTTTAAAATTTTAATTAAACTTTCAAACAAAAAATAAATTTTATTATGAATTAACTTATGTTAATAAAAATCTAAAACTGTAACTTCTTTTTACTATGCTATAATAATCCTTTGCCACAAAAATTCTCAGAAAAAAATTATTAATACGCGAGGTGAATCAATTTTTAAAATATTACGTAATATTTTGATATATCTGATATATATAGTAATCTATCGATTTGCCGATTTAATAAAATCTATGCTACGTATCGGTTTTTTACTATAACTCCTTACATATATTTGATTAATTGTATATGAAATACCCCAATACGCATGATACGTGTATAACTTTTTTTTGCCAAGAGCCGGTAAATTTCACAATTGAAATTTCATATTCAGATGGCTTTACTATAACTAGAACGATCACATAACCGGAAAGTTTAGTGTAAAAAAGACAACATTTTACTATAGATAGCGTAATATTTATTTGCAAACTCATCATCATTAAAGATGATAGGTTATTTATGTCGCTTACAAATAAATATTGTATAAATGGACGTGTGAAACATTATTATTCACAAAAAAATATGTAAAAAAATTCTTACAAAAGTTGATTTATACGTCCAATAATTCCATTATATTGTATAAATATACATAATGATAACGCAAGCAATAAATATATACAACAAAATATATTAAGACCTATATAAATATATATATATATGTATATGTATATATGTACATACGTACACTTATTAATAGTCTACGTATATGAAAAATGGGGGATTTTTTAAAAGTCCAAAATTTAAAAAGTTCTAAGTTTAAAAGTCCAAAGTTTGAATTGAACTCGATCCAGATCGAGTTCTAATATTGCTTGCCGTAAGATTAATTGGCGAGTGGAATGTGGACGCGATGTTGATACAGTTTTATTGTTTGCGGTAAGTGTATAATTAGTGAACTCGAACGGTTGGTGTTGAAGGAGTTGAATTAATTTCATCAGATTGTGGCAGGTTTGTTAAATCCAAATGTGCAATATCTATTTCTGATTTATTGCTGTGCATAAAAAATCCAACAGGCTGTGTTTGATTCGAAGATCCAGAAATAGGGTTATTATTAGTTCCAATGGCGGGAAGATTCGTTCCAAATAAACTAGAGCTTCCTAATGGCAGAATCGAAACACTGGGATCTGATTCATTATTTTCTTCGATAGTATTTATCCCATGCCCAACTCCGACACCAATAATTCCATTTGTATAATCATCAAACATATTATTGTGATTATCTACACGAGCTTTACTTATTCTTCGCATCCTAGTCACACCTTGAATTACGTGAATTGCTTTCTTTAGTTTAGCACGAGATTGAACAACGGTGTGTGTGTTTGCTTGAGGAACTGTTAATTTAGCAGCATACTCAAACCAAGGATGTTTTAAAGCAACATGTGCCGTTATTCGTTCACTCGGTTTGTAAGTCAACATCTTATTTATTAAATCTTTAGCTGAAAAAAAAAAATATATTAAATAAATATATATATGTCAACGAATTTAAACACAATAATAAAAAAAAGAAAAAAAGTAAAATTAATATTTTAATATTTAAACGATATATTACCTTCATTACTTATATGATCCCAATAATCTTCATCGAAGTCATATCTTCCTTTCAAAATAGAGTCAAACAAGGCAGCTTGGTCTTGACCCCAAAACGGAGTATATCCACATAAGACAGTATAAAGAATGACACCGAGTGACCAAATATCACACGGTTTTGAATGACTAGATAAATTAGAGAAATAGTTTAATGGAAGAAATCATTTGAAGAAATTTCATAAAATTTTAAAGAATTTAGAAAACCAACCCTTTTTGACTCAAGACCTCAGGTGCAACGTAGCCCGGTGTACCGCAAGCAGTGAATTTACTATGATATGCTTAAGGAAGGTAAATTCCGAATCGATTACAGATATAAGTATTAAAGTTAAAATTTTCACACACGTGGATACGCCCAATAATTACCAATTACTAAATTTATCATTCATTTTCGACCAAAATGTCATAAGCCTTTAATATGCTGTGATCATCTGCGACCCAGTGAACCAAAGTTTATGTCGCGTTTTGTATCTTTATGTGATCTCATTTGAAACATAATAATTATGTATATAAACACACATATTCTCATGGTTGATACTCGATTTTCTTTTTTTTATGATCTTAATGTTTTAATGCAATAGTCCGGTCAATTCCGCGCAATCAGTCTTCATTCGCCTTTTTTTTATGTCAC